GAATAAGTATTTGACCCCTCTGCAAAACATGACTTAGTACTTGGCGGCAAAACCCTTGTTGGCAATCACAGAGGTCAGACGTTTCTTGTAGTTGGCCACCAGGTTTGCACACATCTCAGGAGGGATTTTGTCCCACTCCTCTTTGCAGATCTTCTCCAAGTCATTAAGGTTTCGAGGCTGACATTTGGCAACTCGTACCTTCAGCTCCCGCCACAGATTTTCTATGGGATTAAGGTCTGGAGACTGGCTAGGCCACTCCAGGACCTTAATGTGCCTCTTCTTGAGGCACTCCTATGTTGCCTTGGCCATGTGTTTTGGGTCATTGTCATGCTGGAATGTCCATCCACAACCCATTTTCAATGCCCTGGCTGAGGGAAGGAGGTTCTCACCCAAGATTTGATGGTACATGGCCCCGTCCATCGTCCCTTTGATGGGTTGAAGTTGTCCTGTCCCCTTAGCAGAAAAACACCTCCAAAGCATAATGTTTCCACCTCCATGTTTGACAGTGGGGATGGTGTTCTTGGGGTCATAGGCAGCATTCCTCATCCTCCAAACGAGTTGAGTTGATGCCAAAGAGCTCGATTTTGGTCTCATCTGACCACAACACTTTCACCCAGTTCTCCTCTGAATCATTCAGATGTTCATTGGCAAACTTCAGACGGGCATGTTAATGTGCTTTCTTGAGCAGGGGGACCTTGCGGGCGCTGCAGGATTTCAGTCCTTCACGGCGTAGTGTGTTACCAATTGTTTTCTTGGTGACTGTGGTCCCAGCTGCCTTGAGATCATTGACAAGATCCTCCCGTGTAGTTCTGGGCTGATTCCTCACCGTTCTCATGATCATTGCAACTCCACGAGGTGAGATCTTGCATGGAGCCCCAGGCCGAGGGAGATTGACAGTTATTTTGTGTTTCTTCCATTTGCTAATAATCGCACCAACTGTTGTCACCTTCTCACCAAGCTGCTTGGCGATGGTCTTGTAGCCCATTCCAGCCTTGTGTAGGTCTACAATCTTGTCCCTGACATCCTCGGAGAGCTCTTTGGTCTTGGCCATGGTGGAGAGTTTGGAATCTGATTGATTGATTGCTTCTGTGGACAGGTGTCTTTTATACAGGTAACAACCTGAGATTAGGAGCACTCCCTTTAAGAGTGTGCTCCTAATCTCAGCTCGTTACCTGTAAAAAAGACACCTGGGAGCCAGTAATCTCTCTGATTGAGAGGGGGTCAAATACTTATTTCCCTCATTAAAATGCAAATCAATTTATAATAAATGTTTTTCGTTTTTCTGGATTTTTTTGTTGTTATTCTGTCTCTCACTGTTCAAATAAACGTACCATTAAAATTATAGACTGATAATTTCTTTGTCATTGGGCAAACGTACAAAGTCAGCAGGGGATCAAATACTTTTTTCCCTCACTGTAGTCCCCCCATTTTAGGGGACCAAAAGTATTGGGACAAATTCACTTAAATCAAATCAAATCAAATTTGATTTGTCACATGCACCCTTAACCGATAATGCAGTTCAAGAAATAGAGTTCAGAAAATATTTACTAAATAAACTGAAGAAAAAAAAGTTATATAAAGTAACACAATAAAATAACAATAAATAGGCTATATACATTTACATTACATTTTACATTTTAGTCATTTAGCAAACTTTCTTATCCAGAGCGACTTACAGTTAGTGAGTGCATACATTTTAATACATATACAGGGGGTACCGGTACTGAGTCAATGTGCGGGGTTACAGTTAGTCGAGGTAATTTGTACATGTAGGTATGGGTAAAGTGACTATACATAGATAACCTCTCCTGGTACTACTGAACAGGACCTCTCCTGGTACTATGACTGTAAGTCGCTTTGGATAAAAGCGTCTGCTAAATGGCATATTATTATTATTATTATAATAAACAGCGGGTAACAGCAGTGTAAAGCATTGGGCGGGTCAATGTAAATAGTCCGGGTGTCCATTTGATTAATTGTTCTGCTGTCTTATGGCTTGGGGGTAGAAACTGTTAAGGAGCCTTTTGGACGTAGACTTGGGGCTCCGGTAACGCTTGCCTTGCAGTTGCAGAGAGAATAGTCTATGACTTGGGTGACTGGAGTCTTTGACAATTTTTCAATTTTTGGGCCTTCCTCTGACCAGATATATAGGTCCTGGATGGCAGGAAACTTGGCCCCAGTGATGTACTGGGCCATATGCACTACCCTCTGTAGCACCTTACGATCGGATGCCGAGCAGTTGCCATACTAGGCGGTGATTCAACCGGTCAGGATGCTCTCTATGGTGCAGCTGTATAACTTTTTGAGGATATGGGGACCCATGCCAAATCTTTTCATGATAGTTTGTTGGTGATGTGGCCTCGTGAATGTTGACCTGTTTAAAAGTCTTGCTCACATCGGCTACGGAGAGCGTGACCACACTGTCGACCGGAACAGCTAGTGCTCTCATGCATGCTTCAGTGTTGCTTGCCTCGAAGCGAGCATAAAAGGCATTTGGCTCGTCTGGTAGGCTCGTGTCACTGGGCAGCTCGCGGCTGGGTTTCCCTTTGTAGTCCGTAATAGTTTGCAAGCCCTGCCACATCCGACGAGCATCAGAGCAGGTGTAGTAGGATTCAATCTTAGTCCTGTATTGATGCTTTGCCTGTTTGATGGTTCGTCTGAGGGCATAGCGGGATTTCTTACAAGCGTCCGGATTAGTGTCCCGCTCCTTGAAAGTGGCAGCTCTAGCCTTTAGCTCGGTGCGGATGTTGCCTGTAATCCATGGCTTCTGGTTGGGATATGTACGTATGGTCACTGTGGGGACGTCGTTGTCGATGCACTTAATGATGAAACCGGTGACTGAGGTGGTATACTCCTCAATGCCATTGGATGAATCCCGGAACATATTCCAGTCTGTGCTAGCAAAACAGTCCTGTAGCGTAACATCCGCGTCATCTGACCACATCCGTATTGAGCGAGTCACTGGTACTTCCTGCTTTAGTTGTTGCTTGTAAGCAGGAATCAGGAGGATATAATCATGGTCAGATTTGCCAAATGGAGGGTGAGGGAGAGCTTTGTATGCCTCTCTGTGTGTTGAGTAAAGGTGGTCTACAGTTTTTTTCCCCCCTCTGGTTCCACATGTGACATGCTGGTAGAAATGAGGTAAAACAGATTAGAGTTTGCCTGCATTAAAGTCCCCGGCCACTAGGAGCGCCACTTCTGGAGGAGCATTTTCTTGTTTGCTTATGGCCTTATACAGCGCGTTGAGTGCGGTCTTTGTGCCAGCATCGGATTGTGGTGGTAAATAGACGGCTATGAAAAATATAGATGAAAATTATCTTGGTAGATAGTGTGGTCTACAGCTTATCATGAGGTACTCTACCTCAGGCGAGCAATACCTCGAGACTCTACCTCAGGACAAATAGATACACACCCCCTCCCCTCGTCTTACCAGACGTAGCTGTTCTGTCCTGCCGGTGTGCGGAAAACCCAGGCAACTGTATATTATCTATGTTGTCGTTCAGCCACAACTGAGTGAAACATAAGATCTTACAGTTTTTAATGTCTTGTTGTTAGGATAGTCTCATCCAGTTTATTCTCCAGTGATTGCACGTTGGCCAATAGAACGGATGGTAGAGGCGGGTTACCCACTCGCCGACTAATTCTCACAAGGCACCCCGAAAATCCGCCCCCTGTATTTCCGTCTTTTCTTCACGCCAATGACAGGGATTTGGGCCTGGTCTCCGAGAAGCAGCATATCCTTTGCGTCGTACTCATTAAATAAAATATCTTTGTCCAGTTCGAGGTGAGTAATTGCTGTTCTGATATCCAGAAGCTATTTTTGGTCATAAGAGATGGTAGCAGCAACATTATATACAAAATAAGTTACAAACAATGTGAAAAAAAACACAAAATAGCACAGTTGGTTTGGAGCCAGTAAAACAGCAGCCATCCCCTCAGGCGCCATTATCGGTGGCACTATTAAAATAGTAAAAAGTTAAGTATTTGGTCCCATATTCATAGCACGCAATGACTACATCAAGCCTGTGAGTCTACACATTTGTTGGATGCATTTGCTGTTTTTTATTTGGTTGTGTTTCAGATTATTTTGTTCCCAATAGAAATGAATGGTAAATAAGGTATTGTGTCATTTTGGAGTCACTTTTATTGTAAATAAGAATAGAATATGTTTCTAAACACTTCTACATTAATGTGTATGCTACCATGATTACGGATCATCCTTAATGAATAGTGAATAATGATGAGTGAGAAAGTTACAGAGGCATAAATATGCTAACCTCTCCTGTTATTGTAATGGTCAGAGGTTAGCATATCTTGCGGCTATGATACTTGTGTGTCTCTAACTTTCTCACTCATCATTATTCACAATTGTTTCAGGACTATCCGTAATCATGGTAGCATCCAGATTAACGTAGAAGTATTTAGAAACATATTCTATTCTTATTTACAATAAAAGTGATTCCAAAATGACACAATACATTATTTCTATTGGGCACAAAATAATCTGAAAAACAACCAAAACAACCAGCAAATGCATCCAACAATTTTGTAGAGTCACAAGCTTGATGTAATCATTGTGTGCTAGGAATGTGGGACCATATAATACACTTTTGACTACTTTAATACACATATATGTGAATTTGTCCCAATACTTTTGGTCTCATAAAATGGGGGGACTATGTACAAAAAGTGCTGTAATTTCTAAACCTTTCACGACAGTCTGCACTTTAACCTCATAGTGAATGTATCATTTCAAATCCAAAGTGCTGTAGTACAGAGCCAAAACAACAAAACAGTTGTCACTGTCCCAAAACTTTTGGAGCTCACTGTATCTCAAAGTTGTTGTTTTTTTTTACAAAGAAATTAAGGCTGTAACAATCAGTGATTCATCTGGCAATCATTGACATAAAGCTTTGAACACGCAAAACCTTGTAGTTTTCCTCAAAAAGATCTCCAGAGTTTGTCATAACTTTCGAGTCATGTAGAGTCTTAATCTAATGCTAGCACAAAAATTCCGATCTGGAACTGTCACTCTTGTATGTCATTTGTGAGTCAATGCTGGACCTGGAGCAGAGGAGCATCTTCTCTTGGGACTCTTTGGTCTGCCTGTAGGTCCACAATTCAGTGGGATTAGCGTTCAAGGTCCTCTGCTTCATCGATATCGTCTCAAACTTCACATACGTGTCTTTAGATAGCTCGTCGTCCGAACCTGGCACTCTGCTCTTGCAGTGGAGTAAGAGGATCTTGTAGACCAGCAAACCGATGACAGGTAAAGCCACGGCGCAGGAAAAGCCGCTGATGATCATCAGCAGCTTGTTCGCAGCATCGTCCTCAACAAGGTCCAGGGTGAAGAAGTTGATACAGGGGTCTTTCCCCGCGGCACTTCCCTTGGCAACCAGACAAACCTGGTACCTCATTCCAGAAGTCAAGCCTTCGAGTAGGACTTTGCCACTCCCGGCATCGGTATCCACTGTCCTTTTGGAGTCGTCGTCCTCATCATAAGTGGAGTAAACAATGGTGAGAGGTGCATTGCTCTGCAAACCGTTGGTCGTCCAGAGTAGAACCGCGCTATCCGGTGTTTCTTCCACGATCTCGAGATCTTGGACAGACTTGGAAGCAACTTTATTTTTCCTCTGATCCGCCGCTAGCTTCCTGTCGCTGTCTTTCTGGATCTTGGATGGTTTGGGTGGGGCTATCTGCTGCACGCTGCTGGGCGTGGGTTTCTTCTTGGTGAGGACGGGTGGCAAGACGGCTGGATGCGTGGTCGTGGGTGGGGCGGTGGTGGTAGACGGGGCACTAGGGGAGTTGGGGAAGCCAGTTGCCGGAGCAGAGGACGTTGTGGATGGGTTATTCCCTCCAGCTTCTATGTTGGGCCTCTCTGGGGGCATGGTTGCAGCGTCATAACCTGCCACAGACAGGGTGATGGCAGCCTCTGCATTGCCAGCAAAGTTCTTAGCCTTGCAGCTGTACTCCCCGTTGTCTTTGTACGAGATCCCATTCAGGCTGATGATGGACCATTGGACACCCTCTCCCGGAGACTCCTGGACAACTATAGGTAGATCATGAAAATGCAAAGACTTAATCATTGCCAAGATGTAGACTTTATTTTAATGAATCACAAAGATCAACTGTAGAACATAAGTAAATCTTAACAAAAATGTTTTTTTATCTAAAACTATTTTTGATAAACATGTTGAATAACACACTGTATGCATTTTCTTATAATAAATTGTTTCACTGTTGATACCTGTGTTGTTGACAGGTGAGCCATCTGAAGTAGTCCAGATGAGGGTAGGCGTGGGGTAACCCGTGGCATCACAGCGCAGGAGCACGTTGCTGCCCAACGAGGCTGTGATCTTGGTGGCTGACATCATGATGGATGGCTTGAGACATTGGTCCAGCTCCGCCCTTTGGAACATAACGCCAGCCAGGTTCTCAGGCCCGCTGCAGGACAGGAACTGGTCCATTAGTACCACTGACATGTCAGACATTTTGGAGAGCTCAATCAGCTTGGAGATCCTGCAGTCGCAGACCCACGGGTTGTCCTGAAGACCTGCAGGGGACAAAAATGGAAATATTTGTGATTGTAATGTTAAATTCAACTTACATTTATGTTTGTGAAAAGGTTAGGAACATGGCAGTGGATCCGAGATTAAGAACATGCTAACAATGCTGTGATTAGTGCTAATGCTAATGTGGCTATGAATGTAAATTGCAGTCTCTCCTAGCTCATACACAAATTATACACATTTTGTATTTTAGTTTAAGTATACCTCTAACATGATATGTTCTATTCTCTGTACATCTTGTACATATCTAAGTTCAACAAAAACATTGACTGCATAATATGCTATGATTTCCATGTTCATAAATATTCCCACCCAAATTATAGAAACAAAACTATACAAAACTATATTGTTTATTTTCTGTACAGCTAGAATGTGTAACTTAGTGTTCTCATTCTAGGTATGCATACAGTAGCGTAACAACTGAGTCATCCTTCTGCATTACCCTAATGATCAGATTTACCAGTCCGCTTACCCCTTCAAAGTAGGAGGATACAGATACAAATAAAAGATGACTGGTCATTGGTCAGAAATCAGATCAGATTGTGATGTCATGCTGTGGGCCAAAAAACTCAATTCCACCAGAACATGCTGAAATTCTAGGGCATTATCATCATTTTCACAATTTCAGTGTTATTTCGACCTTATAGTGTGGAAATATCATTAAAAACTACAGGAAAATCACGTTTTTTACTGCGCTGTCCCTTCAAGGCAACACAATTACACAACATATTATTGAGTAGTGAACCCAAAATGTTAGTGTTTCACAAACACAATGTTTAAAATTGTTTAATGTATTCTATCATTTGCCATTTTAACCCACTTTGTCAGGCATTGTTGAGCACAGTGCTCAATCCACCAGCAGTAATTGGAGGTAAAACTGCAGTGTTGCATTTGCCTCTGTCATGAAGAGTGGTGATGGTGGGAATGGGTGGTCTCATCATTGAACGTCAATTTGCCTGACAGTTTTGTTATCCATTCATCATGATCAGTTACACCTCATGACACAACAAGCTGCTTAATTCTAAAATATAAATATAATTTTCTTTCTTCAAACATACATAAAACATTATGTAAAATAATCAGAAAGTCTAAACATTTTGAATTACCCACAATCCTCTAAAAGCGGAGCCCCGTGGCACATTGTTGCAAGAACTTAAAATTATTAAGTTTAGAGAAATAGTATTAAAATGGAGTAAATTAAATCACTCAATGTTCTCTCTCTTTGGTTACCCTCATAAAGAGACTTAACATTTTAGCAACATATGAACTTTGATTTGTTCTTAAAAGTAGACTCAGCAAAATTACATTGCCACGAGCAGCACTGGAGATACTGAGAAGAGCGAGATGCAACACTTTGCTCTCACACAGTCACACACAGCATCTGTGCATGTGCACAGGTTTGCTTCACATTGTGTACAGTGTAGTAGCCAGGGCACTAAAACAGCAGAGAAGATGAGCCTCATGCTTCAGCGCTCTTAGTTGTGGCAGAAATGTACCCACTCTGCTGTTTACTATCTGCATCTACGTCATATCATTGAGTCTACCTTTACATTTTTGTATAAAATTAAATTAACTAATATTTGAAATGACATTTTTTTGACAATTTCAATTCACCCCAGAATATGTTTTTACAATGTAGATACACATACTCAAACACACATGAACACACATGCACAAACACTCTCTCTATCAAGGCTCAGGATAAGACCCAGATGCAGACAGTTCGAAATAGCAAAAGTTTATTTAGAAAAACAGGGGGCAGGAAATGACAGGTCAAGGGCAAGCAGAGGTCAGTAACCAGAGCAGAGTCCAAAAAAACATTGGAAAACAGGAGTATGGGAAAAACACTGGTAAGCTTGACGAGACAAGACGAACTGGCAACAGACAAACAGAAAACACTGGTATAAATTCACAGGGGATAATGGGGACAAATGGGAGTCACCTGGTGGGGGGGTGGAGAAAAGCACAAGACCGGTGAAACCGATCAGGGTGTTGCAGTACCCCCAACCCCTCTAGGGACACCAACTGGCGTCCTACCTGGGCGCATACCTGGTTGACCGGGGTGCCGGCGGTGGAACTCAGCGATGAGGCCTGGGTCCAGGATGCCCCTAGCAGGGACCCAGCACCTCTCCTCCGGGCCATAACCCTCCCAGTCAACCAGGTACTGGAATCCCCTGCCCCGAGGTCGAACGTTCAGGAGGCGCCCCACCGTGTACGCCGGTTGGCCGTAGATGAGACGGGGGAGAGGGGTGGGCCTGGAAACAGGAGACAAAGGACTATTAGACATACACAACCAATGAAAAGTTTGAACACACCTACTCATTCTGGTGTTTTTCTTTATTTCTACAATTTTTTACATTGTAGAATAATAGTGAAGACATCAAAACTATGAAATAACACATATGGAATCATGTAGTAACCAAAAAAGTGTTAAACAAATCAAAATATATTTAATATTTGAGATTCTTCAAATAGCCACCATTTGCCTTGATGACAGCTTTGCACACTCTTGGCATTATCTCATCCAGCTTCATGAGATAGTCACCAGGAATGCATTTTAATTAACAGGTGTGCCTTGTTAAAAGTTAATTTGTGGAATTTCTATCCTTCTTAATGCGTTTGAGCCAATCAGTTTTGTTGTGACAAGGTAGTGAGGGTATACAGAAGATAGCCGTATTTGGTAAAAGACCAAGTCCATATTATGGCAAGAACAGATCAAATAAGCAAAGAGAAACTACAGTCCATCATTACTTTAAGACATGAAGGTCAGTCAATACGGAACGTTTCAAGAACAATACGGAAAGTTTCTTCAAGTGCAGTCGCAAAAACCATCAAGCGCTATGATGAAACTGGCTTCTTGAGGACTGCCACAGGAATGGAAGACCCAGAGTTACCTCTGCTGCAGAGGATAAGTTCATTAGAGTTACAAGCCTCAGAATTGCAGCCCAAATAAGTGCTTCACAGAGTTCAAGTGACAGACACATCTCAACATCAACTGTTCAGAGAAGACTATGTGAATCAGGCCTTCATGGTCAAATTACTGCAAAGAAACCACTACTAAAGGACACCAATAAGAAGAGAGACTTCCTTGGGCCAAGAAACACAAGCAATGGACATTGGACTGGTGGAAATGTGTGCTTTGGCCTGGTCTCCAAATTTGAGATTTTTGGTTCCAACCGCCGTGGCTTTGTGAGACGCGGGTGTTGGTGAACGGATGATCTCTGCATGTGTATTTCCCACCACAAAGCATGGAGGAGGAGGTGTTATGGTGTGGGGATGCTTTGCTGGTGACACTGTCTGTGGTTTATTTAGATTTCAAGGCACACTTAACCAGCATATCTATCACAATATGCTGCAGTGATATGCCATCCCATCTGTTTTGGGCTTAGTGGGACTTTCATTTGTTTTTCAATAGGAGAATGACCCAACAAACCTCCAGGCTGCGTAAGGGCTATTTTACCAAGAAGGAGAGTGATGGAGTGCTGCATCAGATGACCTGGTCTCCACAATCCCCCGACCTCAACCCAATTGAGATGGTTTGGGATGAGTCGGACCGTAGAGTGAAGGAAAAGCAGCCAACAAGTGCTCAGCATATGTGGGAACTCCTTCAAGACTGTTGGCAAAGCATTCCAGGTGAAGCTGGTTGAGATAATGCCAAGAGTGTGCAAAACTGTCATCAAGGCAAAGGGTGGCTATTTGAGAAATCTCAAATCTCAAATATATTTTGATTTGTTTAACACTTTTTTGTTTACTACATGATTCCATATGTGTTATTTCATAGTTTTGATGTCTTCACTATTATTCTACAATGTAGAAAATAGTAAAAAATAAAGAAAAACCCTTGAATGAGCAGGTGTGTCCAAACTTTTGACCAGTACTGTAGGTTTAACCCTAGACACATGAAAAGTGGGATGTATACGGAGGGTACTGGGCAACAGAAGATGAACAGCGGAGGGGCTAATGATCTTGGAGATGGCCTATAAAACAGGGGGAAAGTTTGCTGGACTCCACCCGGAGGGGCAGATCCCGAGTGGACAGCCATACCCTCCGCCTGTCGTCGATACCTGGAGGTGGTCTTGAGAAGAGCCGACCAGGCTCTCTTCCAGGTACGGCGACAGCAGCTGACGAACATCTGTGCCGAGTGTATACCGACCTCTTCCTCTTGTTCCGGGAAGAGTGGGGGCTGATATCCCAGAGAACACTCAAAAGGCGAGAGACCAGTGGCAGAGCAAGGAAGGGTGTTGCGGGCATACTCAACCCACACAAGTTTCTGCCTCCAGGTGGTGGGGTTGGTGGATAAAAGGCAGCGAAGAGTTGTCTCCAGGTCCTGATTGGCTCGCTCTGACTGGCCGTTAGACTGGTGGTGGATCCCGGAGAACAGGCTGGCCAATGTCCCAATGAGCGTGCAGAACGCCTTCCAGAACTGGGAAGAGAACTGAGGACCCCGGTCAGATACCATGTACACCGGGAGTCCATGGATCCGGAAGACATGCTGCACCATGAGCTGGGCCGTCTCTTTGGCAGAGGGTAGTTTGGGGAGAGGAATGAAATGGGCGGCTTTGGAAAACCGGAACACCACAGTAAGGATGACGGTGTGCCGTCAGACGGGGGGAGACCAGTGACGAAGTCCAGGGATATGTGTGACCAGGGACGGTGAGGGACAGGAAGGGGTTGAAGGAGACCAGCTGGAGCTTGCAGAGGAGTCTTATTCTGCGCACAGATCGTGCAGGTGACTTCAAACGCGGAGACGTCATGGACCATGGTAGGCCCCCAAAAGCGTTGTTGCACAAAGGCCAGGGTCCGACGGGAACCCGGGTGGCAGGTAAGCCTGGAGGAGTGGGCCCACTCCAGGACCGAGGGGCGGACAGCGTCAGGAACAAAGATCCGGTTATCTGGGCCCCCCTCAGGTTCGGCTGGGAATGCTGCACCTCACGGACCTGCTTCTCAATTCCCCAGCTGAGAGCTGCCGCCAGACACGAGCTGGGGAGGATGGTCTCAGGGTCCGAAGGGGTAGCCGCTGGGCTATAGCGGCATGAGAGCGCATCTGGCTTGATATTCTTGGAAACCGGGCTGTAGGAGAGGGAGAAGTTAAACCGGGTGAAAAGCAGGGCCCACCTAGTTTTCCTGGAATTGATACGCTTGGTGGTGTGGAGATATTCCAGGTTCTTATGATCCATCCACACAATGAAACGCCATCCTACGCCATCTTCACCACGAGAAGCTCACGATTCCCCACATCGTAATTCCTCCCCTGAGTCGATGGGTACCCGGAGAGATTTTTACTGGATCCCCCACAGCAGGGTGACATGGAGAGGGGTGCGAGTAAGGGGAGAGGGAAAGTTCTCTGTATGGCCCACTAGAGTACTTGTCCCTACCGGTGAGCCTGGTCGTTTTAGTGGACAGGAGGACACAAAATGACCAGTAGCCCACAATACAGACATCTGTTAGTGTTAAGCCTGCATAAACACTCTGCCTAGGCATCCCTGAAGTCCCCGACGTCTCTGTCTCCAAGAGAATTAGAGGCAACCCAAGTTTCCCCGAGAGTCTCCGAAGTATGTTGATTCGCCTCTTCCCGAGCCAATGCAACTAGGCAGAGTGTTTACGCAGGCTTAACACTAACAGTTGTCTGTATTGCGGGACTACTGGTAATTTTGTGTCCTCCTGTCCACTAAAAAGACCAGGCTCACTGGTAGGGACGAGTACTCTGGTGGGACACACGAAGAACTTTCCCTCTCCCCTTACTCGCACCCCTCTCCATGCCACCCTGCTGTGGGGGATCCAGTAAAAATCTCTCCGGGTACTCATCGACTCAGGGGCCAATGAGAATTTTATGGACGCTACTCTGGCGTCCCAGCTGGACAACCCCACTCAGCCCCTCTCCATTCCCATGGACGTTAGAGCGCTGGATGGGCGCTCTATAGGCAGGGTCACCCACAATACCACTCCCATCAATCTACAAGTGTCAGGGAACCACAGAAAGGCTATCCAATTCCTGCTTATTAAGTCCCCTCAGGTTCCCGTGGAATCGGACCTCCTCTCCTTCCTACATTCCCACAGCCGCCCATCAATCTGGATAGTCAAGGCGATAAGTGAGTCGAGATCCGTAGGTAGTTCCCGGGCTGCTAGCTCATCCTTAACTTCCGATAATCCGTGCAGGAACTTGTCGAACAGCGATTCCGGGTTCCATGCACTCTCAGCCGCCAATGTGCGGAAATCCACATCATAGTCTGTCACACTGCAGGAGTCTTGCCAAAACAACTTCCAGGCAGCCTCTCTCCCAGACAATGGAGAATCGAAAACGTTCTTCACCTCATCCACGAACTCCTCCAGACTGAAGCACATGGCAGACTGTTGTTCCCACACTGCCGTAGCCCAGGCGAGAGCCCTCCCGGACATCAGTGTAATGATGTATGTTATCGTCCAGCAGTCCGAGGGGAAGGAGGAGGGCTGCAGCTCAAAGATGAGGGAACACTGAGCGAGAAACGCATGACAGGGTCCCGACTCTCCAGCGAAGCGTTCCGGTGGAGGTAAGCAGGGTTCTCGGGAAGCCGGGGTGGCCGGGAGAGACGCGCTGTTGACAGCTGGGTTACTGAGGGGCTGGGAGGTTACCGTTGTAGTAGGTTGCCTAACAGACAACCAATGGAATTTCTCCAGCAATGTATTCAACGTGCGGTCATGCCATTCGGCCAAGGTCTGGAAACCCTCCATAAGACCATGAAGCAACCCCTCGTGCCTCCCAATGGTGGCTCCTTGGGAGGAGACGGCGTTGCGGAGGTAGTCCGAGTCCGCTGGGTCCGTCATGGCCAGTTTGTACTATCAAGGCTCAGGATAAGACCCAGATGCAGACAGTTCGAAATAGCAAAAGTTTATTTAGAAAAACAGGGGGCAGGCAAACGACAGGTCAAGGGCAGGCAGAGGTCAGTAATCCAGAGCAGAGTCCGAAAGGCACAGCAACGGCAGGCAGGCACAGGGTCGGGGCAGGCAGAGGTCGGTAATCAAGAACTGTGTCACAAGGTACAGAACGGCAGGCAGGCTAAGGTTCAGGGCAGACAGAATGGTAAAAACCGAGAAAAACAGGAAAACAGGGACTAGAGAAAACGCTGGTAACGGCAAAACGCTGGTAAGCTTGACGAGACAAGACGAACTGGCAACAGACAAACAGATAACACTGGTATAAATACACAAGGGATAATGTGGACAAATTGGAGACACCTGGTGGGGGTTGGAGACAAGCACAAGACAGGTGAAACCGATCAGGGTGTGACACTCTCGCTCTTTCTCTCTCTCTCTCCCTCTCACACGCACGTTCACACACACACACACACACACACACACACACACACACACACACACACACACACACACACACACGTGGAAGTGCATGTGTGTTGCAGAAACCTCGTAGCTTTTCCTGCAGTCAAATTATCAAATCACCCTCTCGTGGCCTCATGGGTGGATTGTTATTAATATTTTTCATAATTTCACAATTAATTAACATGATTTATTTCAGACCCCTTGACTTTTTCTACATTTTGCCTTATTCTAAAATGGATTAAATAAATGTTGTTCCTCATCAATCTACACACAATACCCCTTAATGACAAAGCGCAAACTAAAATTATATATAAAACAATAGCTTATTTACATAAGTATTCCGACTCTTTGCTATGAGACTCGAAATTGAGCTCAGGTGCATTCTGTTTCCATTGATCATCCTTGAGATGTTTCTACAACTTGATTGGAGTCCACCTGTGGTAAATTCAATTGATTGGACATGATTTGGAAAGGCACACACCTGTCTATATAAGGTCCCACAGTTGACAGTGCAAGTCAGAGGAAAAACCAAGCCATGAGGTCGAAGGAATTGTCTGTAGAGCTCCAAGACAGGATTGTGTCGAGGCACAGATCTGAGGAAGGTTACCAAAACATTTCTGCAGCATTGAAGGTCCCCAAGAACACAGTGGCGTCCATCATTCTTAAATAGAAGAAGTTTGGAACCACTTCGCCCGGCCAAACTGAGCAATCGGGGGAAAGGGCCTTGGTCAGTGAGGTGTCCAAGAACCCTATGGTCACTCTGACAGAGCTCCAGAGTTCCTCTGTGGAGATGGAATAACCTTCCAGAAGGACAACCATCGCTGCAGCACTCCACCAATTGGGTCTTTATAGTAGAGTGGCCAGACGGAAGCCACTCCTCAGTAAAAGACACATGACAGCCCACTTCGAGTTTGCCAAAAGGCACCTAAAGGACTCAGACCATGAGAAACAAGCTTCTCTGGTCTGATGAAACCAAGATTGAACTCTTTGGCCTGAATGCCAAGCGTCACGTCTGGACGAAACCTGGCACCATCCCTACGGTGAAGCATGGTGGTGGCAGAATCATGCTGTGGGGATGTTTTTCAGTGGCAGGGACTGGGAGACTAGTCAGGATCGAGGGAAAGATGAACGGAGCAAAGTACAGAGAGATCCTTGATGAAAACCTGCTCCAGAGCACTCAGGACCTCAGACTGGGGCGACGCTTCACCTTCCAACAGGACAACGACCCTAAGCACACAGACAAAACAACGCAGGATGGCTTCGGGACAAGTCTCTGAATGTCCTTGAGTGGCCCAGCCAGATCCCAGACTTGAACCCGATCTAACATCTCTGGAGAGACCTGAAAATAGCTGTGCAGCGACGCTCCCCATTGAGAAGATCTGCAGAGAAGAATTTGAGAAACTCCCCAAATACAGGTGTTCCAAGCTTGTAGCGCCATACCCAAGAAGACTCAAGGTTGTAATCACTGCCAAAGGTGCTTCAACAACGTACTGAGTAAAGTGTCTGAATACTTATGTAAATGTGATATTTCAGTTTTTTATTTTTAATATGTTTGCTAACATTTCTAAAAACCTGTTTTTGCTTTGTCATTATAGGGTATTGTGTGTAGATTTATGAGGGGGGAAAAAACTATTTAATCAATTTTAGATAAGGCTGTAACGTAACAAAATGTGGAAAAAGTGAAGGGGTCTGAATACTTTCCGAATGCACTGTATATACTGTAAAGTGTAATATTGGGACTCAAAATTGAATACATTTCAAACCTATATCTAACATGGTACAGGTGTTTTAAGCCCATAACCATGTGTGTGAGGTGTATACTTTTGTTTCAAAGTAGATGTGTTTAAGACTACCAAGAAACATTCTGTGTGACCCTGATTTAGCCCACTTTAGTAAAATTAACCAGATTAGCTGTACTTAAGAGCGGCCAACCCAACAGAAAAATCTGGTGTTGGCTTTTTCCCCAACATACTTCAGTGCACTACCTGGTCTTACCTCTTAAGGATCGGACCCTTTTTTTCCATTTTCCCCTAAAATGACACACCCAAATCTGACTGCAAGGCTATGTATATTCTTTTTTTTTTGTATATTTTTTTTTGTGTCATTTAGCAGACGCTCTTATCCAGAGCGACTTACAGGAGCAATTAGGGTTAAGTGCCTTGCTCAAGGGCACACCGACAGATTTTTCACCTAGTTGGCTCAGGGATTAGAACCAGCGACCTTTCGGTTACTGGCACAACGCTCTTAACCACTAAGCTACCTGCCGCCCACTAAGATACCATTTGAAAGGAAAAATGTTGATGTTAGTGGAAACGTGAAATTAATGTAGGAGAATATAACACATTAGATCTGGTAAAAGATAATACAAACAAAAAAACATGTGTTTTCCATTTTTCTTTTTGTTCCATCATCTTTGAAATGCAAGACAAAGGCCACAATAAAATGTTGTAGTTTAGACGCAATTTAGATTTTGGCCACTAGGTGGCAGCAGTGCATGTGCAAAGTTTCAGATTGATCCAGTGAAGCATTGCAATACTGGACTATTTTGTATCAAGCCTGACCAAATGTGCCGAATTGGTCAATTTGATACATTTTCAAGTACATAACTATAGAGAACATACAAAAATTATATGGTAATACAAAATGTAAGTTGTCACACTCCCAGGAATATCATACATGATGGATCATTAGCTTATACACTAACTTTCACACTTCTAGATGGCCGGGTGGGGTGGGTGTGGAGCCAGAGACAGCAGCGGTTCAAACTGTAGAACCCTGTTCCTACATTTTGAATATAAAAATTGATTTTATCAAACAAAACTATACTACATTTTATCTCTGGGACACTTAGAATGACAAATCAGCGCAAGATTACTGAATGTAAGTACATTATTTACCTTCAGAGGTGAATCTATCAAACCAGTTGCCGTGTTAGGTTTTTTGTCGTTGTGCACTCTCCTCAAACAATAGCATGGTATTTTTTCACTGTAATATCTACTGTAAATTGGACAGTGCAGTTAGATTAACAAGAATTTAAGCTTTCTGCCCATATAAGTCATGTCTATGTCCTGGAAAGTTTGCTGTTACTTAAAACAATCATGCTAATCACATTAGCGCACGTTAGCTCAACCGTCCCGTATACGGGACACCGATCCCGTAGAGGTTAAAGGGGCAATCTGCAGTTGTTACATGTTTGGACTTTATATAAATTATATACTGTATACCCTTTGATTATTAAAGAATAGAACTTATACATACCCCATGAGCTTAGTTCAATTGTCTTACCCCATCAAAACCTCATATATAACCTTTTTTTACTCCAATGTGTGTAAACACCGTAATTGTAAACAAACTGTGTAGCCTCAAAACTTGGATAAAACTATATTTTGTTGTCATGGATAGTCAGTCCTTACATCCGTAGCTCTGTCTATGAATTTCAGAGTGGTTACATTTCTCCAGCCCCATTCCTCAGCTTTTACCAAAGTAGTGGTGGGATGCTGCTTTGTTATTGTTTGAACTGCAGATTGCCACTTTGCTTGTACACAATTGAGAACAACTGTAATCTTTGGATCTGTGTTGAAACCTATCTATAGCAGAACAGCAATGATCAAATGCTCTAATACATTTACAGAACTTCTGATCGTTTTTTGCCTTTTTACCTGACTTGCATATCTTAGACCATATTTTGCAAAACATTAAATACATATGTCATCAGTGAATACAAAATTAACTCAAGTGTTTTGTTCACAGAATATTAACACATTGTTTTCATCAGAAGAGAAATGTGTGCAATTGTATTCACTGTTTCCGTCAATCACAAAATTCTAAATCATCCCATCAGTGTCATATCATGTCTAATATAGGGAAAGATCTAGGCAATGGGGACTGTCAAATTTAGGATGGTTTTTTACAATATTGCAGACATGCAGAGAACTTCTAAGTAACTTTGGGTTACTACTAAGTCATCCCCTCTCCAACATTGTGACCTTATATTATAGAGCTTTGCGTTGGTGTATACTGAAGCCTATATATACATATCAGTTGAGTTCCTCCATTGTATTCACCTTTCCTTATTTCAATTGTGGATTGTGTTTCTGTGTGCCAATGGAAAGTCTACAAAACTAAGCAAACCAGCCTATGTATTGAATACATGGAATTGTATTGTGGTGATACCGATTAATGAATCCTGTTCACAGTGTGCTTATTTTCTTTTTTTAATCATGAATAATATTTGATTTGATGTGCATTAAATTGTTTGGTGAAATATGCATAAAAGGAGAATATTTGCCCATGATTCTGCATCTTTGGATAGTTGAACTTCCAATTTTGATCGTCATGACTGCAAAGAAAATGTATTGATCTACTGGGATTTTTGGGCAACTTCATTTATTGTTTTGCAAAAGGACACAGAGTTCTGTGTCTTGTGAACTCTGTTTTGAAAATCGACCACATTGTTCCAAAAAATGTTTATACGCAATTGACAAAAACTGTAATAGACCTATTGGAAAAAATAACATTAACCGCTAATCATTTGTTTAATTTCTAACTCTTTAGCTCAGGTTTTGGATATTATAAAAAAAAACTTCAGTTTAGAGAATTGTTTTACTAAAGACTAGCTCAAATATTGCTCTGTGATACACTCTTGATGCAGCCTTTTAGTATTGAAGTGGGCCAACCTCTGAACAGTGCTGAAAAGGGTATTCTATCATGTGATGGTACGGGAAGTGTCTGTATTCTTTACATGGGACATTGTGTGTCTTCCTTAGGGAAAGGCTACTCTTGTTTCTCCTTCAAGTCCGCCAGGGCATACAGTAAAACAAGCTTTTTCAGCAGGGATAAAATAGCTTGTCCTTAAACACCCATTAACATTACCCCACCAGCGGTGGCCCGCCCATTAGGGCATTATGGCCTGCATCCCACTTATGATTGATGCGAACGTTTGCTATGAACTGTGTTTGTTTCAAAACATGTTTTTTTTTGCAGAAATGTTAGTTTTAGCTACTCTTACTGATAACATCATGGACCGACCATGCAAAATGTTGGCTTTAGCTATGGCATCTGCCATAATAGATTATGTTTTAGATCCTGTTCCCGATGTCACGGAATGGCTGCAACTTTTAGTGGGTGTATCAACACCGAAAAGTTTGGTTTATGTGCATAGAAATAGAATGAATAGAATGGGCTTGGAACATCTAACATTGGCAATTTGACTGGTAAACTCATGGGTACACTCGCAATGGCTGCCTGGTATTATGATGCAATAATTTCCATGGTAATGAATGTTCATTCAAATTATGTTAACTGATGTGGCTCATGCAATGGAATGGAATTTTTGTAATGTCAGTTGAGTTGAATCAACAAATCACAGCACATATTGATGGGTACACTTCCTGCTTTTGCTTCTTGCTTTTGCTTCCTGCTGTGCTCCTATGGGTACAATCGCAATGGCTGCCAGTCCCCCCCATTATGCCATCATTGACTTGAATGGGGACGCCCGTTCTATTCATATGGTTATGGAGAAAGTTATCCCTCTCTACAATGACTTTGGCTTTCGGTCTCATTTTCAGATGAGCTGAAAACACTTTCAGGTAATTTGCATGTCTAGACGTCCTCTTTGTTTTGATTAAAGTAGCCTTAATAAAGTTAAGCGTCACGAAAATCCCCAATGATTGTAGCTAGCTATCTATCTATAAGTACGAATGCACACCAGCCAGCTAGTTAGTTGACCAACCAGAAAGCTGGGTGGGTGAGGTGTACAGTCAACCAACCAGACGGCCGGGGTGTGATAACTGATAAGCTATAAAAATGCAATACCGTACCCAATTACTTTATAATCAGTCAAATTGTTATTTATGCATGTTATACAGTAAGTACTGTATATTATTTATAAGGCCCCTTATCTATCAACACTTCCCACTGTAATGAATACGCAGGGAGCAAAAAGGTGTAGATTTACGCGCAGAGCACGGCAGGTGTTTATTACGCCTTCGCAGAAGGCAGGAATCGTGGTCACTGGCAAGCAATGGTCATACACAGGTAAGCAAACAGGCAGGTGAAACAAAACTATGACTGAAGGCTAAAACTGGTTCTCACAAACAAGCTAGGAAAAGGCTTAGTAGAGTCAAAACTAACAATACCTCACAAGGCACAAACAGAAAGAACTGAACTAAATGTGGAGCTGGTGAGACCAGGTGAGTAACTAACACAGGTGAAATCAATGAACAAAAATGAAAGACAGGGCTACGTACAAGAACACAAGGTGAACTAAGACAACAAATACAGAACCTTACAGCCACAAAGGGCACATAATTCAAATATAAAAATGTAAAAGTACAATGTAAAATTACAATGTAGCCTACATTGTGAACAGTAAGCCTATAATGAACAATACATAATTGTATAGTTAATAATTGCCTCTGTGTTACAGTGGTGAAGGTCAAAACTCTAACATGACAGAATCCAATTTTGCTTTGTTTTCAGATATTGTGTGAGGAACTCAACCCTCTGGTTCCATACAGAGGAGAACGCCTGGAGGATCGCATGTTGGCCTTTCTGTGGCTGTTGGCCAATCAGGAGAGTTTTCGTGGTGTTTCCGACCTCTTTGCAAATAGAATTTGCTCCAGTAACTGCTCCAAATAGTAGATGGCCTGAACCAGCTGATGCCCACCTACATAAAGTGGCCAACACCCACCCAGTTTCCAGTTCTGGAGGCTGGGTTCCAGAGGATCAGAGGGTTCCCTGGTGTGATTGGGTGCATAGATGGCACTCACGTTCCCATCAGGGGGCCTTCCGAAAAACGGGATGCCATTCCCTGATCCTGCAGACAACAGAGTGGCCCTCCATAACCAGGCTGTCCAGAAGAGGGACAACATAATGCACCTGCTCTAAAGAATATCTATAATTGTTGTTGAGACATTTTTTCTGGTGTCCATGTTTAAAGTAATAGCACTTTCAATGGTTGAGATGCATGACATGCTGTAGAATGTAATAGAATATAAAACTTTTACAGAAATAACTTCAGTTTTCAGAGAGAACAATATAAGAACTGACAGGGAAAACAGACAAAAAATGTGTTATGAGATTGCATTTTTTTTTTACTGATTTAATTGACTATAAAATTGGGAAACATAATGATCGATTTCAATTAACAATCACTGTTCATCAAAAAAAAAAAGAATTTACTTCGATTTCACAATCACTGCTCAGTCATACACAGCAGCAGTGAACTTTTCAAAGAGAGCCACAAGAGCATTAGTGAGATCAGGCATTGATGTTGGGCGATTAGGCCTGGCTCGCAGTTGGCGTTCCAATTCAACCCAAAGGTGTTCAATGGGGTTCAAAGTCAGGGCTCTGTGCAGGCCAGTCAAGTTCTTCCACACCGATCTCAACAAACCATTTCTGTATGGACCTCGCTTTGTACAGACAATTTTTATGCGCTATGAGCTTCAGCACTCGGCAGTCCCATTCTGTGAGCTTGTGTGGCCTATCATTCGCAGCTGAGCTGTTGTTGCTCCTAGACGTTTCCACTTCACAATAACAGCACAGTTGACCGAGGCAGCTCTAGCAGGGCAGAAATTTGACGAACTGACTTGTTGGAAAGGTGGCATGCTATGACGGTGCCACGTTGAAAGTCACTGATCTCTTCAGTACGGGCCATTCGAATCGTCTATGGAGATTGCATGGATGTGTGCTTGATTTTATACACTTGTCAGCAACGGGTGTGGCTGAAATAACCGAATCCACGAATTTGAAGGGGTGTCCATATACTTTTGGCCATGTAGTGTATATGACTTCTTTAAAACGTAAGCCAAAAACAAATCTATAAATGGTATAGTTAACACTGCCCAATAATAATTGTGGGATGTGTTCCTGTTATTAGTGGTCTGTGTTGTACATAGAGACTGGTCTGAGAGCTGTGTGCCTGGACAGGTTTAAACCTGAGGAGGTCCAAGCCTCTCCTAACCATTGATACAGGATCAGATTTATTCAACTTTCTAATGGTTAACCTTAGGATTGTGTGAATGTTTATAATAATTGTGGGAGTAGTTACATGTGTCCTTACGAAAAAAGATTTCAGTCAGGTTGCAGTATAACTGCAGTATGCTACAAATATTGCGTCCAATATAACACCTTTTTTTTACTGCAGTAATTTTGCACAATTTTGCACTCTCCCGAGTGGCGCAGTGGTCTAAGGCACTGCATCGCAGTGCTAGCTGTGCCACTAGAGATCCTGGTTCGAATCCAGGCTCTGTTGTAGCCGGCCGCGACCGGGAGACCCATGGGGCGGCGCACAATTGGCCCAGCGTCGTCCAGGGTAGGGGAGGGAATGGCCGGCAGGGGATGTAGCTCAGTTGGTAGAGCATGGCGTTTGCAACGCCAGGGTTGTGGGTTCGATAAAATAATGTATGTGCTAACTGTAAGTCGCTCTGGATAAGAGCGTCTGCTAAATGACGTAAATGCAGGGTAACTGCAGTTAGAGTGCAGTATAACTGCAGTACATTGCAGTTATTCTGCAATTACTGCATCCAAAATATCACAGTCGACTACAGTTACTGCACTTTTACTGTAGTTTCAAAACTGCAATCTTTTTTTGTAAATACAGAGTTAATCAAATAGGTCTTGGAACCTCAATGTGAAGATTGAAATATGCCTTTGGGTTAAAGTTAGCAGTCACTAAGTATACACAATGCATTTATGGGCTATGTAACGACCAAAAACTCTACACACTCCTATGCAGGTCAATCCCATGTTCTGTTATCTCTGAACACCTGCTTTACTGTAGGGGTGGCCAACCCACCTCCTGGAGAGCCACTGGGAGTGCAGGGTTTTGCTCCAGCCCTGCTCTAATACACCTGAGTCAGCTAATCAAAATCTTCCTGAAGAGCAGCTGATCAGTAGAAGCAAGTTTGCTAGAGATGGATGGACAAAAGCCTGCACAACCAGTAGCTCTTGAGGGTGGGTTAAGTCCTAACCTTAAACCCTCATTCCCACATCACCCACTCACACCCCATTCCCAGTTCTCTTACCGAGCACCACTTTCTGGGACAGGTTGGAGGAGATGGGCATGCCGTTGAAAGGCAGCCAGATATCCACAAAGTCCGAAGACAGAGTGGTCAGCTTGTTGCTGGAGATATCCAGATAGGTGATGTTGACCAGGTATGGGGTAGCCTCCACGGCCACATCGGTCAAGCGGTTGTTGTGAAGATCCAGCGTCCTCAGACTGGGCATCTCCTTCAGGGACTTCCAGGGGAAGGTGGAAATCAGGTTCCCGTCCAGCCGCAGTTCGTGGAGGACCTTGAGGTTGTAGAAGGCGGCGGCGTCCACAGAGGAGATAGAGTTGTAGGTGATCCACAGGTAGCGCAGGTCGTTCAGGTAGTAGAAGGCCTCGGTGGGGATGCGCCGCACTGCCGTCTTCTCTACCCGCAGTTTGACCGTATCCACGGGGACGTTGACGGGGATGTCGGACATGTCTGGGTCATTGCACAGCACCGATCTGAGTGGAACAGAAAACATGGACTTGGTTTAAATACACTATACATAAAAAATGTGGACACCCCTTCAAATTTGTGGATTCAGCTATTTCAGCCACACCCGTTGCTGACAGGTTTATAAAATCGAGCACATAGCCATGCAATCCCCATTGACAAACATTGGCAGTAGAATGGCCTTACTGAAGAGCTCAGTGACTTTCAACAGAGTGGAGGCTGTTATAGCAACAAAGGGGGGACCAACTCCATATTAATGCCCATGATTTTGGAATGAGATGTTCGATGAGCAGGTGTCCACATACATTTGGTCATGTAGTGTACATCGCAAATCTTTCCTCTCTCCCTTCCATGGAGTTATCACTCTTCTGGATAGGTCAAATCAAGGGATCCATTACATAGCTTTGGCCTATCCAGTCTAGTCAGATAAGTGATTACAGTTTGGAAGGGGTTGGGGTTTCAGTCCGTGTCCTTGAGAACCACATGGTGTGCAGGATTTTGTTTCAGATCAGTAGCCTACTAAACTACCTGATTAATCTGATAATCTAGCCCTTAATATGTTGAGTCATGTGTGTTAATGCTGGGCTGGTACAAAAGCCTAGACAACGGACCAGGATGATAGAAATCTGAGCTAGATGGTGTGTAGGCCTATACTTTGTGCTTCCACCTGCACAGTTTATTTCTTCCATACTTGTGGAACTTTAGAAAAGTTGTTCTATTATCATTTTCCCTTATCTACTTGCAAACAGACTGTTTTTCAAGACTCCATGTTGTGCTCCCAACTCTCGAATTCCGGTCATCCTAAATATTGTGATAGGTATTGAGAGAGAAAAAGTGCTCCTCTATTGAACTCATAATTCAAAGTCTAAGAGGGGCAGGATGTACTGTGAATTATTAGAGAACTTTGGATCATATGTTCTGCTACTGTATATCTGTATGTTCAATCAAACCTAGAATCCAGTTTCCAGGGGAAAACAAACAGCAAACCTCCTACACGTCTGCTAGCATGAATGAATTAAATTGATACAAATCTAAACAATTATTGAGGACCCACTGTCTTGACATAATAATGAATCAAAATGTAAATATTTCGTAATTGCCAGATGGCAAAACAGGTAAAATAATCATGATTAAACTCATGATGAATCTTGATATTGATCTTAATTCCACAATACATGGACCATTTTTAAAAGATAGTGATACTCTATGTCTGTGGAAAAGGGTCCAGATTACACTATAATAAAATACCTAAAGACACCTTCCTCTAAGAAATAATGGTAAATACCTGGTCCCCGTTCCGTCACTCCGTCTGTGGTAATCACAGGTGCACTGGGAAGGACAGAAGGAATGGGCCAAACTGAAGCAGCACAGGAAGACATGGGCGTAGAGAAGACGATGCATGGTTCACCAAATCAACCCAAAGTGCTCACATCACAAGGTCAAGAGAAAGAGTAGAGTTTAAGACATCCAAATTCATTTAGAAAGGTCGAAAAAATTACTAATATTTGGTAGAAAGGAAAACATACGAATAGTCCCGGAGTCCTGCACACATAAGAAGTACTTACAGGTGATCCATTGTTAGGATGGGAGAAGGGGGGGGGGGCAGTAAGGCCAGATTAGCGGAGGATTTTATGGGGCTGACTAGGTCACGCAAGCCAGGACAGGGAGGATGGAAATTAGTCTTGGGGACACAAGCGCTAATCGGCTACCACACTTCTGCCAGGGGAGGTCCCCACCCCCCCAACACACACACACAACCTTCGTCACCCCAGTCTATTTAGCCCTGTCCTGCCTCTTTACTCTGTTGACTCCTCCCTTACAGCTCTTCTAACCCCCACTGTTATGGCACTAGCCGTGCCCGTGCTGACACTGGGCTGGGCCTTTTCCTAAAGGTTGCGTGAGGGAGATCCGAGTGACACAAAGGTGCAAGCTGTAGTCTGGGGAGTGATTTATCTTCCTGGAGGGGATGGGGTGGAGGGGGTGATGGGGTTGATGGGGGTGGCGTAGGAGGCCAGACTGTACTGGGCATGGACTGACAGCTCAACAACATGGCCTCCAAGAACACACACATGCACACACAATTGCACACACACACACATACACACACACACACACACAGGAAACTATGACATAAGTAGTACCTGAGGTTCCATATTCGACTCAGTCTAGACTTAATTTTACATAGTTAAGTAATGTAGTTGATGGACCACAGGGGACAATTTAAGTTTGTATTTGATGTAATTGCATGTTATAAAAGCTAATCAAAGTACATAAATGGTGCTTAAATCTTAGAAATGTATGGGCTGATGTTGAAAAAGTTCATGACTATGGCTGATATTTGGGGTGGGGGGGATATTAGTAGAAAAATATTTTATATATTTGTTGAAATATATCAAGCATATAATGTACTGCCTAACATGGTATTTTACATAAAGATTTCCTTCTGTGAGGTGCCAGGTGAATATATCAGTAATGTAAGAAGAATTTGTCTTGAATGAGCTCCACCTCTTATCTAAGAGGTGTTATATTCACATCCACTGTGTAGAAATGGCCACTTCACACATCTATTGTATGAGAACACCAAAATACACATATTTCTAGGAAAGATGGATACATTAGCCATTTTACTCATCAAAAAAGAATAGTGATAAATGATTAGTGATTTTTATATATTTACCTATGAGTAGATCCGAAACAGACTGTTGATGGTCCTAGCTTGGTCCTGACTAAGAGAAAGAGGGTTATCTGGTGGTAGAAAAGCAGGCGGTTTGGTCATACTTTTGCCTGTGTGGGTAATACAGTACATACATACATAAATACATACATACATAAATACATACATACATACATAAATAAATACATACATGCATGCATGCATGCATGCATAATAATAATACATTTTATTTGTAACAAGCTTTTCAAAAACCCAAAGTGCCACAACATTTTAAATAATAAAACATAAAATCAATAAAAACACATAGCACATTACATAAAGACACAAAAGGCCTACAATGGCTAGAGAGAAGTTTCAAGTTTTATTAGACCTATGTACGGGATACACATGGTATACACCGTCCAATGAAATGCTTACTTGCAGGTTCCTTCTCGACATTGCAACAACAATAAGAAATAATAAAATATATGAATATGAACTTAAAGTAAATGGCGTGGCACAAGTCAGTTAAGACATGAACAGTATTAAAAGCCTCTCGAAACAGGTTGGTTTTAAGCCTGGTTTTATAACTAGGAATGCTATCGGTAGCTCTGACATGAGAGGACAGGGCATTCCAAAGGCGAGGGGCAGCAGAGGCAAAGGCCCTGTCACCCATGGTGCGAAGCCTGGTCTTGGGGACCATCAGGAAGCCCGAGTCAGAGGAGTGTAGGGAGCGGCCGGGCAGTGGGGCTGGAGGAGCTGTGAGAGGTAGGAGAGGGCGGAGTCATGTAGGATTTTTGAAAGTGAGGTGCTGCACTTTGAAGTCCATCCTCTCCTTCATGGGGAGCCAATGCACGTCCTGGAGGATGGGGGTGACGTGATGACGGGATGGGGTTGATGTGCGGGCAGCTGAGTTTTGGACAAGTTGGAGTCTGTTAACTAGGTGGGAGGGGAGACCATAGGGGAGGCTATTGCATTAATCCAAATTACAGGAGATGAATGAATGGATTAGTCTTTCAGCATCTGTGAAGGAGAGGAATGGGCAGATACTGGCAAAGCTTTTGAGATAGAAGAAGGACAGCCGTCTGGTGTTATTAATGTGGGATTCAAATGATAGTGAGGAGTCCTTGACAACGCCTAGGTGTTTGGCTTGGGGGAAGCATTGACTGTGGCCTCCTCAATGGTCAAACACAGGTCATTGGTTTGAGGAGGGTATCTGAACCAATTAGAAGGACCGCCATTTTCTAGCAGTTAAGTTTGAGAAAGCTGTTGTACATCCATGCTCTAACTGTATGAAGGTAGTTGTGTAGTTGGGTCATGGCAAAAGAGGGGTCAGATTTTGTTCTGATGTATACTTGAGTGTCATCAGCATAGAGGTGGTAGTTCAGTCCATGGTTTTGAATAATCCGTGCAGAACAGTATAGTTGAGGTGGATTTGAGACTGTCTATGGTGACAAATCAAATCAAATTTTATTGGTCACATGCGCCGAATACAACAGGTGCAGACATTACAGTGAAATGCTTACTTACAGCCCTTAACCAACAGTGTATTTATTTTTAACAAAAAAATAAAAAATAAAACAACAACAAAAAAAGTGTTGAGAAAAAAAAGAGCAGAAGTAAAATAAAGTGACAGTAGGGAGGCTCTATATACAAGGGGGTACCGTTGCAGAGTCAATGTGCGGGGGCACCGGCTAGTTGAGGTAGTTGAGGTAATATGTACATGTGGGTAGAGTTAAAGTGACTATGCATAAATAATTAACAGAGTAGCAGCAGCGTGAAAAGGATGGGGTGGGGGGGCAGTGCAAATAGTCCGGGTAGCCATGATTAGCTGTTCAGGAGTCTTATGGCTTGGGGGTAGAAGCTGTTGAGAAGTCTTTTGGACCTAGACTTGGCACTCCGGTACCGCTTGCCGTGCGGTAGCAGAGAGAACAGTCTATGACTAGGGTGGCTGGAGTCTTTGACAATTTTGAGGGCCTTCCTCTGACACCGCCTGGTATAGAGGTCCTGGATGGCAGGAAGCTTGGCCCCAGTGATGTACTGGGCCGTATGCACTACCCTCTGTAGTGCCTTGCGGTCGGAGGCCAAGCAGTTCCCATACCAGGCGGTGATGCAACCAGTCAGGATGCTCTCGATGGTGCAGCTGTAGAATTTTTTGAGGATCTGAGGACCCATGCCAAATCTTTTCAGTCTCCTGAGGGGGAATAGGCTTTGTCGTGCCCTCTTCACGACTGTCTTGGTGTGTTTGGACCATGATAGTTCGTTGGTGATGTGGACACCAAGGACCTTGAAGCTCTCAACCTGTTCCACTACAGCCCCGTCGATGAGAA